ACTCCTCTCTTCCAACACCCCTCACTCTTCCCAGCACACGGCTACCAGCTGCTAGTTGGGAGCAAGTGATACGTACACGACCCTCCGTGAACATTCGCGAAACCTATGTGTCGCAGAGCACGGAGCGCCCACTGACAAAACCCGAGCATGGAACCGGGGAAATTGTGCACCCATCCGAGCATTTCTTCAGGGGAGCGCAGCTTTGAACCCTGGTTTTTCAGGGTGGAAATTAATGGGAGCCCTGAGCGTCTTATGTAACAGCTCGACACTATTCCCAAGCCGCGTTTCCTGTTCCAACCTATTATTTTGTACGTTACAAAGTGACGAGGATGATTTAGAAATCCTAGGTTTGGATCAGTGGAATGGAAACTAGGTTTGGAGGATAGGTTGGGAAATAAGGATTGGGTTGATTGGAAACCAATCAACCATCACAAGCCAGCAAATATTGGAAACTCAACAAACCAATATTGACAAATCAGCAAGGCTGGGAACTCAACCAACCAAGCCAACAAAGTCATTGGTTGGAAATCCAGCCAATGGAAAAGGGGACAGGTTGGGATGGAATTACACACCTCAGCCTTGCCTATCTAACTCTCTACACCACCATTGGTTGGAAATAACCAAACATGCCACATGGGCACAAGCCCATTGTGGTGCACCCCTCCTTGTGCCATGGAGGAGAGGGTTGCACCCCAAGGGTTCTAGGAGGAGAGGAGGCAAGATATCTGGCGAGCTAGGTAGCCACGGCAGTTGTTTCTTCTGCTGTACCTCAGGGGATGTGCTACTCGTTGGCAATTTGTATTTGCGCGGGTGAAGAATTCGCTGGCTACTGTAGATTTGGCATTGTGGTCCCGAGCGTTGTCTTCACAAATGACGGTACATTTTACGTTGCGTTCGTCTAGAACGTCATTTTTGTGTAAAAACGTGAGTACGTACTCTTAGGACACACCTTTAGAGATGCATCATCTTGCACAATATATTAGTCATACAAAATGCACCTATGTACTATGAGATAACACGTTGAAGTAGACGATTTACACTTTGATACGACCCCAAATGTTCCGATTTTGAAAGAACAGCGGGATGAATCCTCGCTCGCCGGAGTGATGACTCACCCACGAACTAAGCAGGTGGAGAGGCGACTATGACTACAGGTGGATACTACCAAGAGCCAAACCCGTGGGACCCTAATTAGAGCGTGTTCCTGGATGGTTCCAAGAAAATGGTGTCGAACTTTGCTGATGCAACTAAATGGACGGATAAGATTGAAAGTTTGTCGATGTGGCTAAAACTACACTGTCAAAGTTTCCTCGTACAAGTGCTTGACACCGTCCAAGACAGACCCTCATGTAGGCGTTACAGCAAATGTAAACTCCGAACCTAGAATGTCAGCTCCAGAATCTGAGGGAAAATTCTTGCGTCGTGTCATCCTGCGGATGACACCAGATTTTGCTTGTAAGCTTGGTTCGGCTGAACCTAGCTCAGGGGCAAAATCGGGTGTCATCCACGAGATGACACAATACAAGAATTTGCCCTGAGTTAGAATCCTACATTTTGTAGGTGTACAGTTTCAGAGTAGAAAGATTAACTAGAATGATGGGGTACAAGGGAAAATATATCCCACAGTGACGGAAACAACTGTCCTGATGTTTTGCATTAATTAGGGTTTTTGAGCTTTTCGACCACTATACATGAAATTTTTATGTTCAATCGCGGTACGCTTTTGGAGGGGCACATAGTGGATGTGTTCACAACACTACAATCCATAATGGCACCATGGATCTAACTTAGTGCCAAAAGATAAACAAAGCGTACGTCTGGACAATTGTTTCCGTTACTGTAAGTTGTTGTACCCTCTATCAGTATGCACCTATCTAACCTATAACATATACAAAGTATATGTTGACACACCCCCTAGGCTAGACAAGGGGCAATGACTAGTACGAAACATACATCGCAGGGTGGCACTACTAGTCCAACCTCTGAGGCAAGGGTCCGAAGACCAGTCAGCAAGCATACAAACTAAAGAAGAGTAAACCAGGGTGGCACAAATAGTCCAGCCACTGGAGCAGGAGTCACAAGGCCAGTACTAGCACCCCCAGAGCTCGCGGACCCCTGCGAGGGCTGCTGGTATGGCGATGGCGGCTGCAGATGCGACGACTGCTGCTGCGGGTGTGGCGACAGTGGAGGAGGGGACACCAGGGTGGAGACAGGAGGCAACACCGAAGCCATGGGGCCCCCGGAGTCAGCCGACTCCTCGACCAGAACAACCGACGGGAGGGGAGTGATGTGAGACACACTAGATGGAGCAGGATGGGGAGGAAGAGGAGCAGGGGCTACCAGGGGAGTGGGGACAAGGAACAGGGGCGGGGTAACCGGGAGACCTCGGTGGGGAAAGCGGGTGCAGAAAAAGACAGACTCGTCTAAGGTGACGTCGTGAGAGTGAAAGAAACGGTGAGAAGACAAATGGTAAAAGTGCAGTCAGACGTGTCGAGGGGGAAACCAAGGAAGACACAAGGGATGGTACGGGCAGTGAACTTGTCCGTACTAGAGGCACGAACGTGAGCGAGGCAGCCCCAGACGTGGAGCGCAGATGCGTCACCAAGGAACCCGGTCCAAAGAAGGGTCGGCGAAACCCACGGTCGCTGGGAGTGGGGCCACATGTTAAGCTGGTGAGCGGCGTAACGAACAGCGAACGACCACAGAAAATATGGTGCACCGGCATGGATCATGGAGGTACGAGCCACCTCCATGACCAAATCGATGCGTCGCTCAGCGATCCCATTTTGCTGCGGGGAGTCCGACAGGGTGTACGGCTGGGTGATGCCCTTCGCACGACAGAAGTGGCCAAGCCGACTGGAGGCGAACTCGCCGCCACGGTCCAAGTGGAGACGCAGCACGGAGAGGCCGCGGTGGACTCGCGCATCTACAATTTGCGAGATAAGAGCTGCACGCAGGTCAACCTTCCTCTCCAGGGGAAACACCGTGGTGTAGTGTGTGAAGTCATCGACAAGCACTAGAAAGTAGTGCTCGCGACGCAGCCCAGGAACAGGGGCGGAACCCCAAACGTCTAGGTGCAGGGTCTAGAGTGGCGTAGTGGTAGGGGGGAGCGAGGAGGAGTGGGGAGCACGGCGCAGCCGGCCCTCGACGCAGGGTGTGCACGACGGCGCAGGCGAGGGAGGGAGGGCAGGGAGTGACGTAGGGAGACCACGGACAAGCCCGTGATGGGACATGTGACGCAGACGCGGGAGTGTGGGGTGACCTAGGAAGTGGTGCCACAGCAGTGAAGGGTGGGTGAGCGACCGAGATGAGCAGGCTGCAGCTACCTGAGAGGACGCGTCGACCTGGGGGGACACTCCGGGGACGCGGTGTCCAGCGTGAACAGCCCAGATACCGGGTCCCGAGGGAATGTGGTAAGATGGGCACCAGTGGTGGCCTCGGTACAGACGGCGTACCGCTCATGTCCAGGGAACGTAGTGGTGATGCCAAGGTCCTGAAGACAGCTGACACCAACTAGGTTCCTAGAGAACAAGGGGATGTGCAAGCCTGTAAGAGAGCCTGAGGGGATCGCCGGACAGGGGAGGGTAGTGGAGCTACGCGTGACTACCAGACCTAAGGAGGGATCAGCCAGTGTTACAGCGGCAGGGGCAGCAAGCGACATGAGTGAAGTGTGGTCATGGAAGAAGCAGGCAGACGCTCCACAGTCGAGCGTGAAAGAGCGCGAAGCAGTAGCGTCTGCAGTAGCGGCGGCTGGCGTGGGGGCTAGCGTAGAGCCTAAGCTAAACCAGGCACGAGGTCCTCCGCCTGACGCAGCAAGGGAACCTAGACTACACACAGGAGGCACACCTATACTAGGCAACACAGGAAAATAAGGTCCGGTCACAATAGAGTCATCAGTGTATATGACATACATAGGAGTCCTAATCTGATCCATATCAAGCTCAAAGACACGAACATGGCGACGGGCCAGGGCGTACCAGTCAGGAGGGTCCACGGTGTGGGACCAAAGCGGAGATGGTAGAGGTCATCGAGGCGGCGGTAGTAGTGGGTGGCGGTGTGACCTGGACAATCGCAGACGGTGCCACGGCGGGGGCCGGTCTGAAGCTGGTACTTGCAGGTGGCCACACTGGAGCCGCCACCCGACATCGAGCTGCGCGGGGCACAACCATGACCACCACCACAAGCGCCAACATGCTTCTACGGCGGTGGGGGTCCCCATGACGGCTGTTGCTGCTGCTAAGGCTGCTGCTGCTGAGTGTCACAGGATCGAATGTGTCAAAGAAAGATTGCACTATCGATTGATACAAGGCGCTTTTATACTTCCAGAATACATCAGGTAACCAGGTTGATCATATCCACGGGAATAGACCCTTCTAGAAAATAGAATCACCCTGCGTATAACCACACGAGGCTATTGGCTTTCAGGGATTACGGCAGGATTACGCTGGATATAGCGCGCCAGTACATCCCGAGCCTGGTCGGTGATATAATTATAAGAGCAGAATAAACCAAAGGATAATGGAAAATGGAGAATATGAAACCAAAGAAGATGGGATAAAAAGAGAGATGAAATAGAAAGTAAATAGGGAAAGGGACAAGTGGTGTTACTGGATCGTACTCTCACACTTCCCCCCCTCAAAGCTGGGTGGTAGAAGTAACACCCTGCCTCACAAGGTAGTCATGAAGAGGACGACGGGCGTTACCCATGTCGGTCTCAGGTACCCAGCTGTCCTCAGAAGGATCGTAACCCTTCCAACGAATGAGAAGCTCCACGGCGCCATTCCAACGACAGCGGTGTGCAAGCACGGACTCGACCTCGTACTCGGGTTCATTCTGGACGAGGACGGGTGGCGGCGGCGGTGGCTGGTGTCCGACGAAGATCGTGTTCGGATCCCGATAGGGCTTCAGAAGTTGGACATGGAAGGCGTTGTGAATCTTCCAGGTAGCTGGCAGGCGTAAGCGGAAGGTAACAGGAGTGACCTGTGCTTCAACGAGGAAAGGCTCGCAGAAGCGAGGTCGAAGTTTAGATGAGAGATGGCTGATGTCAAGGTTGCGGGTGTCGAGGAGCACCTGGTTTTCCACGGTAATGGTGTGATCGTTGCGATGGCGATCGGCCTGGTGCTTCTGTTGCTGTTGGATGTCGAGGAGGCGCTTGTGGGTCCGATCCCAAAGCTGATGCATGGTTGTGATGAAATCGTGTTCAGGTTGTACTGTAGCTGATGTTGTCGGTTTCTGTGGTGTGAGTGGGTGGCGTCCATAGCAGAGGACGAACGGTGTCTGTCCAGTAGTGGCATAAGTAGCGTTGTTGTAGGCAAACTCGAGAACAGGTAGGTGTAAGTCCCACTTGGAGATCTCGTCCTTGCAGGCTGCTCGGAGGAGTTGCTCGACAATCTGGTTGAGGCAATCGGTCTGTCCGCCTGTCTGTGGATGGTAGGCGGATGACATGGCGAGTTTGGTCCCGAGCAGAGACATTAGTTCCTTCCAGAACTTGCTGGTGAACTTGGGGTCTCGGTCAAAGATGAGTGTGGTTGGAATGCCATGTTGTGAGATGATGTAGCAAACGAAGTGTTGTGTTGTTTCTTCGGTGCGTGCTTTCGTGTGTGTCGGGATGAAGTGTCCCATTTTGGAGAATTTGTCGATGACGACAAGGATGGCGTCATGACCGCTGATGGTAGGTGGTAACCCGGTGATGAAATCCAGGCTAACCACTTGCCATGATTGTTCTGGGACAGGAAGAGGCTGCAGTAGTCCCGCTTTCTTCTGCTTGCTGCTCTTCATCCGTTGACATGTATCACATGAGGTGACAAATTTCTGAACATCTTCTGCCAAGTGGGACGAGTAGTAGTGCTTTGCAATACCGGTCAGTGTCTTGTTGCTACCAAAGTGTCCTGCGTATAGGACATCGTGGTATTCTTTGAGTAGTAACTGGCGCAAAGGAGGGTAATTTGGTACCCTGATTTTCGTTGATCCTTTCCGGTACGCGATATCACTGTCCCACTGTAGCAGGTGTCGCTTCTCTGCCAAGGGAATTTCGGGGTCGATGGTGTACCCGTGTGTGAAGAGTCCCTTGAGTAGTGGATTCATCCCCTCAACCTGGAGAGCTGCGACGTGTGCAGGCCGGCTAAGAGCATATGCATTGTTTTTGTGGCCGGGCTTGTACACGATGTCGTAGTGGAAGTGTGTCTCGAGGATGTCAATCCAACGGACCTGCTGCCTGGAAAGGTTTGGTTGTGTCTTCAAATATTTCAGGCTGAAGTGGTCGGTGTAGACAGTTGTTTTTTGTCCTTCGAGATGACATCTCCACGCTTTGAAGGCGATGGCGATATCAAGGGCCTCTTTGTCGTGTAACGGGTAGTTTAGTTCTGCCCCATGTAGTTTTTTATTGAGGTAGGCGATTGGTTGCAGTCCATTTCCCTGGTCTTGCATCAAGACTGCACCCACTACTTGGTCGCTAGCGTCAGCTTCGATGACGTAGTCGCGTTCGGGATCTGGCAAGATGAGTACTGGTGCGGACGTGAGTACTTGTTTCAGCTGCTCCATGGCTTCCTGATGCTTCGACTCCCATTTATAGGGCGTGTTCTTTTTTAGCAGATTCGTGAGTGGTGCTGCGAGTTTTGCGTACTGTGGCACGAACCTGTTGTAATAATTAGCGAAGCCTAGGAACTGCTGCAACTCCTTCACGTTCTCGGGTGTCTTCCACATGCGTACGGCTTCGATTTTCTTGGGGTCGACGTGAACTCCTTGAGCGCTCACCATGTGTCATAGGAATTGGACTTTCTTGAGGGCGAATTCGCTCTTGGACAGTTTAACGTAGAATCGTTCTTGTCGAAGAATCTCGAAGCCACGTCGCAGGTGTTCGACGTGCTGTTTCAAGTCGCGTGAGTAGATAAGGATGTCATCTAGGTACACCACCACGCATTCGTCCAAAAGTGGCCGTAGAATATGGTTCATTTCGGCTTGGAACGTTGCCGGTGCATTGGTGAGTCCGAACGGCATTACCAAATACTCGTACGATCCGTACCGAGTTCGGAAGGCATTTTTATAAATGGAGTTATCCGCCATTCGTATCTGCTAGTATCCGGACCGCAGCTCCAGTTGGGAAAATATCGTAGCTCCCCGAAGCTGGTCAAGCAGGTCATCGATGCGTGGTATCGGATATTTATTCTTGATGGTCCGCTTGTTGAGAGCCCGGTAATCGATGCACATGCGCAGGCTTCCGTCCGGTTTCGGGGTGAAGAGCACTGGGGCACCGTATGGCGAAGTGGATGGTCGGATGAGCCCTTTGGCTAGGAGATACTCGATCTGTTTTTTCATGTCAGTCAGCTCAGTAGGGCAGAGCCGATATGGTGCTCGGAAGGTCGGCTTCGAACCTGGTTCCTCCGCGATCTCGTGTTGATGCGTTCGGTATGGCGGTAGCTCGTTCGGAAGATCGTTGAGAAGGACGTCCTGGAACTCCTTTAGTAACTCTTTGATTTTTTGTGGAGGTTCCGAGTTTTCCTCTCCGTCGTTTTCCACTTCTGTTGCTATCGCCAGGAACCCAGTATCGGTTTGCTTCACGTCCTTCTCGAATTGTGCGAGTGTCTCCACTGGAATATCTCCTGTATCGTCCCAGTTAGGTAGCTGTACTCTCCTTCCATTGTTGTAGGTACTTGCGGTACGGTTCACCCAGCTGATCTCGGGGTTGAATCTTTTTAGGAAGTCTCGCCCGAAGATCAAGTCAAGCCTTTTGATGTTGGTGATGGGGAGTGTAGGTCTCCAGTGCAGTGGTCCAAATTGTAGGTGTAACACTGCTTCGCCGTGTACTGGTAACTTGCTTCCGTCCACCATCGTTGCAGAGAATCCTGAAGGCTTGTACACTTTCCGAAGTCGGTCGATTACTGCCTTGTCGCAAACGGTGTGCAATGCTCCGCTATCCACGAGTGCTTGGAGGCATTGTTCTTTGCAGATGACCTCAGCACGAGGGGCGGGCGTCGCTCGGAGTACCCAAAGATAGTTTTATTAATAGGGTCATAGGGTACATCCCAATATTCCGTACACACCTCTTCGTTGCTATCTACTCCTGAGCTGGCAGCTGGCCGAGGCTGCTTGGAGAACGGCTTTCTCCAGGGCCCGGAGTTTCTTTGACGACTGTGCGCGTCATTGATGCCGAAGTTGCTGAACTGGATGCATCCGGAGGAGTTCGGGGTTTTTGCAGCTTCTTGTAGACCCCCAGCTTCCTCTTGAGCTGCTTCAGCTCCACTGACGTCTTCCCCTGGGAACGGGTAGTCGTTGTGGGCTGGTGTCGGGAGAGGACGTTGACTCCGTGGAAAGGTCGGCTTCTTTCCACACTCCTTAATTTTTTCCCAAGTTGTCCGGTACCGGTATAATCTCCACAGCTTTCTGCTTCTTCTGGAGTCCCTCCCGAATTTTCTCCAAGGCTCTAGCCCCTCGAGAATCACAAGTTTTCGTTAAAGCATCTTTATATGATAACTTTAACGAATCCTTATAATTTCTTGGGTCTTCAAGGAGTTTCTCCGTCTTGGCAGAGTCGGATTTTTCTCGGCGATTTTCCCTGGCGAAGACTGGTCGTGGGGTGGAGATTTTCCCCCATCATTTCCTCCTGCTCGCGTCGAATCAGCTTCGTCGAAGTTGATTTTTCTGGAATCCCGCGGTCGCTTCCGGATCGTTTCTTTTTCGCCAGCTAGATTCGCAATCACTGGCGACTCCCGTTTTTTGTCTTCTGATTGGCCGAAGGATTTCCGCCACTGTTGCGTGCCCGATATTCTGCGCGTGCGGCTTTCATTTTGCTGCAGTCGAAGATTCGATGGCCCGGCACCCCGCAAAAATCACACGTGTAGTTGGTGTTTTTCGGACGTGGCCGCCCTTCGAATTTGTCGATTTCCATCGGGTCGGCGGACATGGGGTGAGCTGAGCGGTTGCCCTGTCGCGTACTGCCGACGTGCGCCCGTCGTGTTCCGGGGTTGACCATGTCGAAGCGTGTCGCTGCCGATACCACGTCACTGTAGCTCGTGTAGTTTGTCGCTGCTACCTGTCGTTTGACTTCGGTCTTTAGCCCGGCGGGATAAGACTGTACTTTTTCCCCTTCGGTTAGGTCGGGAATGCGGTTATAAAATTCTTCCATATGCTGCGTGTACTGTGCTACACTCCCGAAATGTCGATGTCGATGATTTTTTTCCCGGGCAAGGAAACCTGAATTAATTGGCTCGAAACGTTTCATCGGGTCGGTGCGGAACTGCTGCCACGTGGCTTCTCTGTGGATGAAGGTGCTGTTGCCGCCGATCCACTCGAGTGCTGGCCCTCGCATCAGTGTCGCCGCGAATCGTACGCGTTGTCCATCCCAGACCGGTGAGCTCCATCCGACGGCTGCGAAGTAGATCTCCATGCCGGCGATCCATCTGCGTGCGTCGGAGTTTCGATCGCTCGGATCGAACGGCTCAGGTGGGCGCGGTTTCGGAGCCTCGAGAAACTGCTGCGACTGCTGCGTCGTCGCCGTTGTCGAGTTGTGCTGCGCTCCGGCGAGTCGGGTTACCCGCTCGAACTCGTTTCGCCACGCTTCGCGATCCGCTCGCATCTCCTCCTGAAGGGCTGCGATGCTCGCGAAGAGCTGCTAGGTAACCTCGGCGTTGTCGAAGGTCGCCATCGTGTTCAAAACACGCGCGGGGGGGGTTATTCACAAAACGCGGAGCTGGTGCTTACCAGAATCGGCGCCGAATTCGTCGCCCCTGGCAGTTTTTCGAGGCAGGTTTTCCCGCTGCTGCTGCTTTGTTGAGCGCGGCTGAGTGAGAAAAGCTCTGATTACCAAGTGTCACAGGATCAAATGTGTCGAAGAAAGATTGCACTATCGATTGATACAAGGCGCTTTTATACTTTCAGAATACATCAGGTAATCAGGTTTATCATATCCACGGGAATCGACCCTTCTAGAAAATAGAATCACCCTGCGTATAGCCAAGCAAGTCTATTGGCTTTAAGGGATTACGGCACGATAACGCTGGATATAGCGCGCCAGTATATCCCGAGCCTGGTCGGTGATATAATTATAATAACAGAATAAATCAAAGGATAATGGAAAATGGAGAATAGGAAACCAAAGAAGATGGGATAAAAAGAGAGATGAAATAGAAAGAAAATAGGGAAAAGGACAAGTGGTGTAACGGGATCGTACTCTCACGCTGAGGCTGCTGCTGCTGCTGAGGCTGCTGCTGCGGCTGCTGCTCCGGGGCACCAGCTGCGGTATCCCCAACTGCACCACCATCTCCGACCCCACCTCCACCACCCCCACCACCCCCATCACCCTTCCCTCCGCCACGCCCCCTCTTGGGGCGGCGTCCCCTACCCTGACGCTGCTGCGCTGAGGCCGCGGCGACGGTCTCAGCAGAAGGGGTTGTCTCATTAACAGCGGCAGAAACATCAGAGTAAGTGCACTGGGAAAGAGCACAACCCTGGAAAATAGGGACCGGCGTAGTACCGCTAGACTAAGCGATAGTGCGCTGGCAGGTCTCTATCGCGGACAGGGCTCTATCGCGGACAGGGCGGTAACGAAGGCAATGAGGGTGAGGTCACCTTGGTGCTGACTAAGAAAGTGGTCGTGGGCAGTGGCTAGGTGGTCAGGCAGGGGCATGGAAATGAGGTAAAGGGTAGCACAAAGTGGCGGCAGGAAGGCAGTGAGCTATGCCTCAGTGCTAACGGTGCGATAGCTAGTCTCTGGAGCGTAGAGGTGAGTGGCAAGGACAGCGATAGTGGGGAAGAACGCAAGGTCAGGGAACAACATGGGAAGGATCAGGCGGCTGGCGGGGGTTGAAGCGGGGGATGACGGCGTCTAAGTATTCCTTGGCAATTGCTACAGCGGTAAAGCGCGGACGTTCAGACAGGGGGAGGGCGTGACTAATAGCAAGTTGAGCAATGGCGTCGCACGAATTCCAGACAGCGCAGACAGGCTCAGCAGCGACAAAAGCCTCATGCTGAGCAGACGTGGGGGCATCAGGGAGGGCAGCACGCGAGGCGGGGCGAGGGAGCTTACCATTGACAT